CAGCAGGCCTTACTGACATAAATGAACATTTGCACGATATTCTAATTTTTCAAGTTTCACCTGTACATATTCCGTTTAGTAAGAAGTAGATATATTTGATATTGTTTCCTTCAAAGGGATCTGACTGTTTAGTGGATTTGTACTGGCAAGATTTCAGTTTGTATAGGGCAATGGAAGATTTGGATTTTAATGGATAGTAATCTTTTTAAGAGTTTAGTATCCTGGACTAAGACAGAACTTTTCTGTAATCTCAGAGGAGCTAAGGCAGAGGCATGGTATGAAATACACCCAAACCTGCTGTGACATTATCTTGTATCAGCCACTGACCAGGGACGAGGCAAGGAGAGAAAGCCAAAAAAAGAAGAGTTTTATTAACATACAGAATCCCTCACCCTGATTGATGGATGCTTTGCATTTAAGACTGAAGAAAGGAAGAATGACAATTGCCCACCTTTTCTGCTACACAGTATTCATATTTCCGTATAGGACTTGTGCAAATAAAAACTTCAGTGCTGAAAAGACATCATATTCTTCATTACAAGAAGAAAATGTATGCTGATGCCAAAATGTTCTTAATGTCAAATGGTCCTTACTTGGGCATTTGAATCATCTCATGCATTGCTTCAGTAGCTCCTGGGATGGGCTGCAGACTCAGAAAGAAGCCAGGTGACTCGTAGACACTGGCTATTTTCTCCTAAAAATCACACACTTAGAATTATGCTTCTCACTGTGATACTCTTAAGACAATTTAGTTAATATTTAAGATTCAGGTAGTTTTCAAGATCAAATAAAGAAACCAGACCTCATGTTTTCATTTCATTTCAAAACCCTATTCCATGACATCAGGTAAGTAGTACTAAAGGCAAAGCTGCTTTTTAAAGTAAGAAAATAAGAATGGGTCATTGGTGAAAGGTGTTTTTTTGAAATAGCTAGTGTTATTGCCATGGTTATATTTCTACCTTGTTTGTTCCTTTTCAAATAAAATTAATTTTATACTCTTGAATCTGTTCCCAACTCAGACAAGTGAAGAACATTGTCCTAATTTAGGGAAGGCACTAAAATGATTCTCAAACCTTGCAAAATACTTCTTAGGTGAATAGCAGTAACTGAATAAGCAGTGGAAAGAATCTAGGGATGGTCTTCTCTTTCTAGTAATACACGCATGGGCTGCATCAAGCTGCATTCACAAACACACACAAAAACCATGCCAGGGCAGGGGATTCCTCACATTTTCCTTGCTGTCTAGGTAATGCTGCCATTTATGCCAGAAAATGCAGGGGCTTGGTCCCTGCCAGCCAGCTGATCAACTGATCGGCGATGCCACTTCTGAGGATTGCAGAGGATCAGTGATCTGCATCAAGGCACTGGGAGAAAG